GGGATTTTTTCACTGTTTCGATTCTTTCATTTTCCTCCCATTTTTAGGTTTTTCAATATTTCAGCTTTGGAATTTTGCAATATTTCGTTTCTTCAATTTTTCAAATTTTTGATATTGTGTTTTCTCGGTTTTTAAATGTTTCGATATTTTAATTTTTCAGTTTTTAAAGTTTTAGGTTTTTAGATTTCTCACTATCTCGACTTTTCGATTTTTCAGTTCGATGATTTTTCAATTTGTCGAATTTTTAAATTTTAGATTTTTTGTTTTCTTTAATGTTTTGAGTTCTCGATCATTCGATTTTCTGAGTTTTCAGGCTTAGATTTTTTTTGTTGTTCAATTCTTGGATTTTTAAAATACGATTTTTTTTTGCTCGATTTCGATTCCTCAATTTTTCGACATATTACTGTTGGGATTTTTCAATTTATCGATTCTTCGATTTCTCGATTCTTCATATTTTCGGTTTCTCGAATTTCTTCATTTTTCGATTTCTCAATTCTCTGATGTTTCAGTTTTACGATTTTTAAATTTTTTTATTTTTTAGTTTTCAATTTTTGACGTTTCTAAATTTCTCGATTTCTCAATTTTTCGATTCTTTCTTCAATTGTGATTTTTCAATTTTTCGATTTCTGAATTTTTCAATGTTTCAGTTTCGGATTTTTTCACTTTTCCGATTCTTCAATTTTCTTTCCATCTTTCAGTTTTTCAAGATTTCAGTTTTGAATTCTTTTACTTTTCGATTTTTCAATTTTCCTTCCATTTTTCAATTTTTCAGTATTTCAGTTCTGGGATTTTGCAATGTTTCGGTTATTCAATTTTTCCATTTTTTGAAGTTTCGATTTCTCGGTTTTTCAATTTTTCGATAGGTATCTATTTTAATTTTTCAATTTTGAAGTTCTTGATTTTCCGTTAATTTTTTTGATTTTTTTTTTACTCGGTATAGATTTTTTGGTTTTCCAATTCTTTGATTTTTAAATTGTTTAATTTTTAGATGGTTCAATTTCCCGATTTTTAGATTTTTCAATTTTTCGGTTTACCGATTTTTTTTCATTTAAAATGTTTCAATTTTTCAATTATTAACTTTTCGATTTTTCAATTTTGGTCTAATTTGATTTCTTAATTTTTTGATTTTTTGACTCCTCTACTGTTGATGTTTTGATTTCTCGATGCTTCAGTTTTTGAACATTCCGATGTTTCGATTTTTCGACTTTTTGGCTTTTCGAGTGTTCAATTTTTTGATTTTTGAATTTTAAATTTTTGTTTTTTTGATTTTTTTGGTGTTTCGATTTTCCAATTCTTCAATTTTTCGATATTTTAATTTTTCAATTTTTCGAATTTTTAAATTTTTGATTTTTCTTTTCTTTGATTTCTCAAATTTTTGGACTTTTTAAATTTTACATTTTTCGATTTTACTATTTTTTGATGCTTGGATTTCTCAATTTTTCAAGTTTTCAATACTCGTTTTTTCAGGATTTGGATATTGAGAACTTTTCAATTTCTGGATTTTCAATTTTCAGATATTTTAATAGTCAGTTTTTTAATGTTTCGATTTTTGGGTGTTTTGATTTTTCGATTTTTAAAGTTTTTGATTTTTCGATTTTTCAGATTTGTTGTCTATTTTAAGTATATTTTCATTTTTCAATTTGCTCCTTCTGCGGGAGTATTATTTCTTGTGCTGCACTTGACGGGCGAGGAAAGCTCTGTCGAAATAACCTTCGACCAATTTTTATACTTAGCACGTAGGGTTCCTACTAAGCATTCCTTATTTAACCGAACAGTTATTAATTTAACTAAGCAGCTATTATTTCACCAAGCATATATTATTTTTACTGAGAATTTATTTTTTAATTGAGCATTTATTATATAACTGAGCATTTATCATTTTTACCGAGCAAAAATACAGAGCGTTTAAAAATAGAACTGTGCATTTAATTTGTTCCTTTATCTAAATAACAAGAAAACGGTATTAATAATACATTTATTAGGCGAATAAAGTAATAAGCCTTGTTTGCTCTACAGTGTCTAAATAGTGTTTCAATAATATAATAATTATCTCGAATATTGAAATTAATATGTCAAAAAAATACGATAAATGATTATTCTGTGCTGAAGGTATGTTGTGGGGCGCCTGTCATAAATTATCATTATTCTAGATTATCGGCTTACGATGTTTTTATGACCCACGTCCGGTAGTCGTCTATCCCAGCGCGTCAGGTAGATTTAAAGAAGAATTGCTGGTTGCGTTTAAGGCAACAAATGGCGCCCAATTCAAACTTATCTCTCGTCTAGCGTTCCCCCTTAAAGGGTATCTTATTTGCCAAAATTAATTTTATCTGAGAATGTACTAGCCCCGCCCATCCACCCTCTCTTTCCTTAGGGGGTATGTCATTTGCAAAAATTAGTTTTATCTTAGCAAGTGCTAATGATTAACTTAAAAAAATGATCAAAATTTGGATTTCGAGCTTATTTAGATGCACAAGGCAGGAATTTTGAACATCTTCTCTTGTGTTTAGTTGGTTATGCTTTGATTTTTCTTTTGTTGGTTTTGTTTTTGTATATAATTTATAAATATTTTATAAATTTTTTTTGGTTTATTTATTAATGAAAAATAACAGCTTTTTTATTAATAATACTCAGAGTTAGGTACAACTTAAGTGATGGGCAATTACCCAGATAAATATTAAAAACGATGGCGCGACGTCAGGCGATAAATTTGGCTGGCCGACTGTGCAACCTCAACCACGTCTCTACCTCAGTGACGTTAGCTGCAAATCAGTGTTTATCTAATCAAGATCATCATGAAAATTGTGATATAAAATTTTAATGTATAGGCGAACTCGTATAACTGAGGAAAACCGCGAAAAAGTAGTAATTCTTATTAAGAATTCCCAAAATTGTAGGCCACGACTGCAATAGCGCTGGCGATCGGACGGAAATGGGCATCACTTCCGTAATGCCGAAGTCTGATAATAATACACAACGATAAATGACTACTGATTGTTATGGTTATTGTGCTAAAAAAAAGATGGATTTCAGTCACCATCGTTACTAAGAAATCAGAAAGTAAGCCGAAGGTATTCACGCATAAGATGCGTGCAGTGTTGCCAATCTTGCTTTTATATTTTTTTCGTAATTTTCGTCATAAAGAATTTTTTTATTTTTTTTTTGGGACTCCCGAAACCCCCGTACATAACGTACTGAAGAGTTAATCCGCCATTTTCTAGACACTCCGTATAATTGTGATTTTTTTTCCAAAAATCTTAATGTGTCGGGTAAAACTCACACGGATTCATAAACTACACGTGTAGGACTATGTTATTTTATACAATTTAAAACCCATTTACTATGTACAATTTTGGGGTGACGTCATCACATTATTGGAGGGGATAATTAGACAAAGTTTGGTTAGCGTTTTCGATCTACGTGATGTTCATAATATAGAAGCAGACAGACAGACAGACGGAAACGGGGTAGCAATTTTTTCTTACTATTGGGGTCATGGCACATCAAGAAAATATGATAATAGTCAGTCGCCCAATGGACTGGATTACATTCTTAGCTTACGCGGTGAAAGTAAAAACATATTCTACCTCCCAAATTTGAACAGTGATTTTTAGATTTTTAAGTTGTACAAGAACTTAATGATGCTGGTAGGATACAGTTAAATCTACCTAATATTGTCCAATGATCATACCTTTGGGGTGGGATGCATACCATTTATCATTTATCAAGCAGGAAATAAACTTCAAACAGTTTCTTTGTATCTTTTAGGGTTGTTAAATGCATGTGGCATAAATAGGATAACAGATTTCGGCACAATATTCTAAACAGAACCTCATTAGAGAATTAAACTAAACAAATAACGAGTGTACACTAGAGAATTCTCGACAGATTCGATAAATAAACCCGTACATTCTATATGCTTTGACGATACATTCCGACACATGGTTTTTTAAATTAAAGTTTTAGTGGAAAATTACACCCAAATCTTTAGAGACTTTTAAAGATTCACTTTCGTTAGAATAGTTATGATCAATAATGAATTCTTTCCTCGAAAACATTTTACTCTGTTTAAACATAAGAACATAACTATATATGTAAGCGAAGAAAAATGTTGCTGTTTGCCGGGCGAGGGCCCTGACCACTAGACTACAGAGCGGCTTATCTGTCTTCGTTTACTACTACTTATTATTGTGTCGCCACAACCGATTATTTATCCCCCACACCCTTTAAATTATGTTCTTTGCACAGTTCACAATCTTTTGGTGATTTTATTTCAAGTTAAACTTCAGGTCATCAGCAAAGAGTAGCTGAATATTAAATTAAAATTAATAAATGATGCTTATCGATTACATGGAACATTACACTACTAAAAACATCGCTTTCACGATTTAAGAAAAAGTATAATCTGGCCATTAGGGACGTTAAAGTAAAAATTAATGACAAATTTATAGTAGATCATAGAACTAATCCAAGAATTCTGTGAAACATTGTAAATAGTCGTCGATCTAATCAAACTTCTAACTCTAATAGTAAATGCGTAATATTCTCGAGTTAATTTAATGCCTTTTTCTACAATAGCAAAAGAAACGATAAAAATTTATTTAAGTTTAAAAATCTTTAGGGTAACATCATTTTAATTAAATGGTTGTCCAGCCTAAGTTATTTGTGGCACTTATTTATCGCTGTATTTAAAAATTCAATTTTTGGGGTTTCGCAGATTACGTCAACCTCAAGCGTAGGCGGTAAAGTTCTAACCAAAATGCGAAACGAGTCATCATTTAAATGTAACGCTCAATTATTTCGCATACGTTTAAAGTATGTGGATTATCTGCATGTGTTGCTCGTAGCAGACGCCTCAGAAAGGGGTAATTTGGCACGCAAATAGGCACCCCTCTGTAACAATTATAAAGGGTCGGCTGTGATGTTTTACAATGACCACGACCTGTCAACATAATTTTAACGATTTGTGAAATTAAGCTTTGATAAATCTTCTTAAAAAGTTATAATTTTAGCTGTTCAAAATGAAAGGCAACCCAGGAATACTGCGACCATCAGACCTGAAACGCTGAGGGACATGAGCGCAGAACAAGAACGGGCGCTAAGGGAAGCTGCTGTTGCAGTTGGAGTTTTTGGGTAAGACTTTTTAACGTTATGTATTTAAATTGTGTTTATTTAAGTAGGAATATTTGTCACTCGACTTTATAGAAAGTTGAAGCAATATTGTTCTGTTGTTTTCGAAAAAATATTTTCTTAAAGCATTTTCTGCATTTTATTTTTTAAACACGTTTTTACATTATTTCGTTTGTTACATTATACCCAATTTGACGTAATTGCATTAGAAAACAAACTAAAATATAAACTAAAAAAGGCTTACATGTAAAATAACATTAAGTTATACTCACTTTTCTCAAGTTGCCAATTTTCCACAAACTTTGCAAAAAATTCCCGATCGGATTTAATTTGATTCAGCTCTTTCTTAGTTGCTATTTTGTCTTGTAAAACTTGTTTAGGCATTTTAGTAGTTATTAAAAAATGTCCATATTTTTGATTAAAAAATACAAGATCACTAGCACAACCATCTTCTTTTCAAAGAAGTTTACGCAACTTTATTACACGAACATGATCGCAGTCTCTGAATAGGTAGCAAAAATAGTCGTAACAAAATAAAAATTTCAAATTCCAATATCCATAGTTTTAGGCATATTTGGGCGCTCAAAAAACGAAAAATTCTGCTCTATTTCGCCCAAAAGTCATTTATGTTCAGGTTTCGTCAACGTGCTTTAAAGTTATTTATGAACCTAGGGCGTTATAAGGACCCAGCCCGAGGTCGGTGGATGTTAGACCGAGTGTTGAAATATTTTGAAATTAGTAAGCTTGAACATGGCGTTCATACGGTTGGCACAGATAAAAACTATGAGTTACTAAGGGTTTAGTCTCATTTGTCAAGTTTAAATTAAAAACTTGTTAAAAAAACTACAAAGACAAAAAAATTAAATTAGCGGGCGTTATATAATCATAACACCCGCTAATCTCTATATAACGTCCTATGGCGTTATGAGCTTGCTAATAGCAACTATTTCTAAGGTATTATGCGAGTTTGTATATAACTGATAGGTGAAAAATAAAAAAATTAAAGTAGTCCATTTTCCTTAAAATCCGGGCCTTACTAATTACACAAAAAATTAACCCGTAAGACGTCTGAATTTACTTAAAATTCGTTGCGACGATCGACACGTTATCCCGATCCACGCGAACCGAGTTGATTACTATACCAACTGTATTATAAACCGATGATGGCTGACGTGACTACCACCAAACACGGCCAAAAACCATCTCGATTAAACCAGCTTTCAAACAAAAGACACATTGAAATCGGTTCATTCCTTTGGAGTCCACACAATGTAAGTTAGATAGCATTGAGAATATTGCAAAATGGTAAGAAACAAATATTAAGAACAGTAACCGAACTGCTTATTTCTACTATCATTTTCGTGTACTTTTAGTTTAACCTTGATTAAAAGCTCTGGATTGCACTTTTTGAAGTGGCTGTACTAAGACTGGGACAGATTTTATCGCAATCGATAAATACGAGCATATCTTAAACTTTGTGACCCAACTGTATGCAACAGTTTCAACAACCAGCAGGTATATTTCTGTAAGCATCCAAGAATAACACAAGAAACCTTGACACTTGCAATTTTTAACCACATCGATACGTTTTGAAGTAAATATGAAATACGTTCTGTATGAGAAAACTGCCTAGTGCCTAATATTCAAACATTAAAAAAAAACTTCGAAGTAAGAACTCGTCAGCATGTGTCCTATACGAAGGACCGGTCCTATTCTAAATGCTGTTCTTTAAAATTAAAGAAATCGTCAATTTTATGTGTCCTTAAATTAAAGATTAGTCTGTTTATGATTGATTCTAAATACATGTTCTTTAAGCTTTGCGTTAAATTTGTTAACTTTAACTCATGTCGTTAAAAGTGATTGTGAACAAACGCGCTGTGCTTTAATTGCACCTAGTGTACTTAAATAATATAATGATAAGAGTAGAGCAAACACTTACAAGTGACAGCAATTTTTGATCCAAAACTAATGCCAAAAGGTCAGTAGCGTTACAAGGAAAATTTTAAATAGGGGCTACTATTGAATTAGTGGTATTAAGCTTATTTACATAATACATATAATAAACAAAATATCGAAAATAATTATTTTTTATATCGAAATTTGTCAGTTAAATAGTTTTAATATAAACTCAAGAAATTTTGGACAACGAAACTGTTACTCTTTATTTTTTTTTTTCAAATTTTTGATTTGCATTTTCAACCAAATCCCTCATTGCATGGCTTTTGCTGGACTATGTTATTCGTTGTTTTTTTCTTATTTCTTCTTTAGTTTTTCTGGTGTAGATTTTCCGACGGTAAACTATCATTCTTGCAGTAAATTTTCTTTTGCTGTTGCAACATGATGGAAATTGTATTGAGCGATAAGTCGAATTTTTCCTAATTTCTTTCTTCATGACTTCCAAAACATTACCAGTGCAAAAATTATTATTCTTTAAATAATCTCTCAAATTACAAAATTTTTGCTCCACTAAAATTGCTATTTGGGACGCGTTCTCTGAAGCGTAATGTAAAGCACCAGTTTTATATTCTTTTAATGCCACAAATTTTGCATAATTTTCATTACAATTCTTCTTAGAGACCAAAGCAACAATACATTTTTAGCAAAAATTTTGATTTTTATCAAGCTTTTAACAACGTAACCTGTGCAACTGTAAAAAGCAATTTTTTCTCTCAAAGAAAGTTCTTTTTTCTTCAAATTCCAATTTCTACGTAAAGCTAAATTTTCTTTTCCTTTAGGAACATCGTTTTCTTTTCTGTTATTATTTTTAATATAACTCAAAAAAAACAACTAAAGGTGTTGTTTTGTCGGGTTTGTAACTTGAGTTGATTGAAACATCCAAATATTGAGAAACTGATAAAAGTTTTAAGTCATATTTAAACTGAATGGCCTTAGGGACCGGATATCTTGACCGAATTTGGGAAAATACATTTTCTAAACAATTTTGAGAAAATCTCGATGTTAATCAATATGAGTATTTTTTTTTTTCGTTCAAAAACAAGTTTTGCAGGTCTAAAATTGATGTTGTAGTCAGCATAACACCTGTTTGAATGGACTTCCAAAACTGCTTTTCCAAATTTGTCAGGAGCGACTTTTAAGTTTAAAAATAATCTAATGGACTCTTGAAGGAATTCTATAGTTTCCCTATAGACAGTCATATTAAACTTGCTCAAGGCCAAAATAGTTGATCTAGAACTAATCAACTGGAACCACCTATGTACAACATCAATAAAAACAGCTGTCATTAGAGAAGATTTGTCTTCTCTCTCCGCTTCCGCATCAAATTTTATTCCATAACTAACATTTCGATTCAAAACGTTTAGAGAATTTGACACCTTAATTTTGTTAAAATGGTTAGATTGTAAAAGATCCAGATTTAATTTAGACGCAAATTGCAGCTCAAATTTGCCTTCTTCACAAAAATCTTTAATATGTTGCACGTCAACCAAATCAGAAGTTAGTTTATATTTTTCAACAAAATCATTTGGTAATTGAATGATTTTGTTTCCTACCAAACATTGCTTTATATTTTTTAATAAATATAGCGCATCTGCTAAAAAGTAAATTTTTTCGCCATTAACACCCAGTTAGTGGCGAAAAAATTATGTCCTAAACGCATTAGGATTAGGACATAATTTTTTGTTTCGCAGTTTCCTCCAGCTTTTATTCCAAAGGTTTTCCACATGGTAGTTTCATGTTACTTAATAAGTTATATCCACTGGTCCCACATCCAAATTTAAGCTTCAAAGATTTAGTGATTGTTTGCTCTGAACATTTTTTGAATTTTTCCCTTTTAGAGCCTCAGTTTGATCCTTTGTTAATATATTTGCCAAATTTTTCCTTAAATTTGCATTACACACTTTTTGCAAGTATAATTTCTGGCTTAATTGTTTGTTACTAATTTTTAACATTCTAACTTTTTTTCTTAGCATATCATTTTCTTTCTGTAGCGTTACATAGTCAGGTGGTTGTTTGCACTTTAGTGGTTTAGACGAAACAAATTCAGGCCAGAGAGGTTGGGAAGAAAGAGAATTATTTGACAGGGGAGATTCAAACTGAAAAGATTCACTGGAGAGATTACCATTTGAACTCTCCGTTGCACAGGGAAAAATTGAAGGAACAGCGTATTTCTTTTATTTTTTAACTTTAAAGAACATTCCATTTTTAGATCTATTTTTACAACCTTTCACGCTGCAGCCAGTCATCGTTCAAATTTCTACTTGACGAACGGTTTTGAATGTCTAATTCACAACATTAAAATAAAATTTATATTAAATAGGCCGTGGAAAAAGTGATCCACCAATAAAAATGAATCACGCTCTTTCCCTTACTCTTCTCATAATTATTATCTAAGTACACTAATCAGATCCACATTCCTTCTTATACGCCGTTCAATGTTGTTATGTTGTTTCAAGAACAATTTAATACATACATTAAGACAAACGAAAACAAACCATTTCAATATTAAACTGCCAAAGGAGTTATGTAATTCCTCTAAGCCGCAAACACTTACTATTGTACTTTTGTATATTGTTTGTATTTCATGACATTCCTGTGTTGTTGACGTTATAAATCTAGACATGCTTTTGAGTAACGAAGTATCGGTTCTTAGTTCATACCTACTTTCGCATCTGGTCACGTGTTTGTAAACATACATAAATTCCACTTTATGCTTCATGATGCGGCATTGTTTGCTCTATACCACCAACAAATCAAGCATTAGAGCCGTCCTCATTGCCACTTCCTCTATACAAAACTTAAGAGGTGCTAAGCGGAGAAGTGTTTTCAAGGCCGCTGCGGGAGTGGTTGTCATTGCACCTGCAGTACTTAAACACGCCATTCTCTGGACGTGTAAAAGTTTGTTTTTAGTTTGGTTGTGGGACACAGACTAAAGCTCGGTAGCACAGCCCCGGTCTAATTATGGCCGTGTAGTTCCAGAGGGCCATTTGGAATTAAAACCCCAAGACTTTGCAACCACGATATGACATTGTCAAAGAGTCGAGCGT